GAAAATTTTTCACTCGTATGGAGACGCCACCACTTGCCGGTGGAGGGCTACAAATTCTGACCTATACTCAACATACTCAGGGCTATTGAGCAGTGAGGGATCTTTTTCGTACCAGCACCTAGTGCGACACGGGACCTCGGTTTATACGGTCTCATCCGAAGGACCGGTCTCCATGTCTCAAAGTTGATGCGAACCCGCGACGGAAGGATCAACTCCTTACTCTGCAATTCTAGAGCAGACGCTCTAACCACTGCGCCACGCAGGCGACCAGGAGCAAAGAAAAGGCACATTAACTTATAATAATATTTTCTACATTTACATTGATGTTTGCATTTAGTTTGTTTGCTTATTACTCAGGGGCAGAGGAGAAGATTTTCAAAACATTAATGCATTTTTGCTAATTAATCAATAGAGCCTCACCCAAGCACCAGAACCCTGACCCAGGGGCCATGAAATTCATAATTTTGGAAGAGGTACCCTTTCTCATCATAACTATGTATTTAGTTTGTTTGCTTAATACCATGGGACAGAGGAGAAGATTTTCAAAGAATTAATTCATTTTCGAATAAATAAGCCACCCCCCCCCCCCCTCCCTCGGAGCCCCTGACCCAGGACCATGAAATTCACAATTTTGGAAAAAGCACTCTTCCTCATCATAACTATGTACTTAGTTCATCGGATTAATTCCAAGAAGCATAGGAGAAGATTTTTAAAGAATCAATGCATTTTCACTGTAGAATCAGTAGAGCCCCGCCCTAACACCAGAACCCCTGAGCCAGGGGCCTTGAAATTCACAACTCTTCCTCATCATAACTATGTACTTAGTTCATCAGGTTAATACCCAGGAGTAGAGGAAGTATATTTTCAAAGAATTAATGCACTTTCACTATATAAACAGTAGAGCCCTGCCCTAACACCGAACCCCTGACCCAGGGGCCACAATTTTGGAAGAGGCACTCTTCATCATCATAACTATGTTCTTAGTTCATCGGCTTAATACCCAGGAACAGAGGCGAAGATTTTCAAAGAATTATTGCATTTTCATTATATAATCAGCAGAACCCCTGACCCTTGGGCCATTAATTTCACAATTTTGGTAGAGGGCTCATTGCTTATTACAATCATGCCAACAGTTTGACTGCTTGATGTCCAGGAGTAAAGAAGATTTTGAAAGACTGCATGAATTAATTAAACATTTTGATGCATCCTGATGAAGTGTTAGCCGAATTGTGCCATGTTGATCTTCTATAATCGTTCTTGAGTTGTTCCTCTGATAATTGTTCTATAGCAGTCAGGACACCCCCCATACTTTGTGTGTGTGTGTGTGTGTGTGTGTGTAAATTTTGAAATCCTTTACCTTGTTGCAAAATTGTTTTAAAAGGTTATTAAAAAATACCCAAAAATTACTTTACTATATTTAAAAAATACAATATTTTCAAGTAGGTAGAACTGCACATATTTTATTTTTTCCTTGGTATATATAATTTCTTGTAAATATGATCGTCCAGTCACACATAGATAACAAAACAGGATATAGATGTGGTACATTTTAATTTCGACAAACTGTGAAATATATAATGACAATGATAAATAAATGGTCAACAAAATAAAAACAAATAATAATCGTACAATCAATAGATACGTGGACGGACATTGTCTTGATCGACACTATACACCAGACAACTTCTGATGTAAGGGTGGGGGGATACAACCTAGGAAATTTAATTCTCCACAGAGAAGTGCAAAACTGAATTTTATTTCTCTGAAAACTAAAATCTTTCAATTATAAAATAATAATAAACATATAAGATAAAACTCTTTTCCCTTTTTCAGATTTGCTTCAGGATATACTCAATGAAAAAAAAGACCACAAATATTCACGATACTTTAATTTTGCCTAAAGAAGAGTTTCACTGAAACAAACAATGTTAAATTCAAGCACTTGCTTCTTGGTTACAGCTCAATATTTTTGAATTGAAAAAATTGTAAATCTAAAGATCGTTGAAAGAAAAAGTTACAAAATTGAAAAAACTCCTCCCATTTGTAACGGATTATTTGGATATTTTTTTGCTTCATATACATGTACTTCAAAATTTAATAAGATAACAAACTCAAGGCTAACAATGTATAAAGACACGGCACAAGTTCCTGGCAAATTAAACAAAACTTTAAAGTTAAATATTATGCATTATAAAGTTGGTACAAAATATTGTCATTATAAAGACAATACAGATAATTTCTGTAAATGTTGAATCCCGTTTTTTTAAAATCTGGCAGGCAATAAAGCAAAAGCTAACAAAAATATGAAAATAACAAATCACTGGGTAAGGGGGATAACTCTGAGCAAAAGTTCAGAATTGCACTCAATGTTTTGTTTCCCAAATCTTAATTCTTAATTCAAAGATTAATACACATTTCACAAAAATGCTTGTATATATTATACATGTATTTGCTTTTACAACAACTATTAATTTTCATTCAATGTATAAAAATTAAAATGACTGAGAGCACACTTTAAAGATTGTATTTTTCAGCTTAACATGCCATTTAAAACTTTTTTTTTAAAGATGAATGGATAACATTTTAAAAAATCTTCAAATTAACATATTTACTAGTTGTTCACTCAATACGTATTTCAAAAATATTATAGCACTTTATCCCCAATATTTAAGGAATGAAGCTTATTTTAACCTATGTTATACGATATAACATAACTTGGGGCAGATTACGCTTTATAAACCGCGATGCGGTTTATAAAAAGCGTAAACTGCCCCAAGTTATGTTATATCGTATAACATAGGTTAAAATAAGCTTCATTCCTTATAATTTAATTTCAGTGTAGACAATTACACAATTTTCCTCCAAAAATGGCTTCAAATTAAGCATAGTTTAAAAGTAACGCCAAGCGGAGTAATACGTTTTTGACGTAACTCATTGTTACGTAGGCAACTTATGTTATACGCTATAAACAAAGTCATTTATCCAATCAAATGACGTATTGCAGCTAAAATTAAATTATTAGTAAATAAATTACTTCTCACTTATACTGTACATATCACAACTAGGTAAGAAATCAATATAGAGTTAAAAAAAACTGGGAAATTTTATCAATGTAAATTCTCTTCAATATTCTTTTTCTGATGAAAATATACAGATTTTATCTAACATGTTTGAAATCAGAAAAGTTTTAATTGTCTAGAATGATTAATTTGATCAAATTAGGAAGAAAGTTCAAGTTTGTGCAAGGAAAACAGTGATATCACCTTAGCTAAACACAACAGTAAAGGGACATCACTCTGTCCTGTCTCTACTGACTCTTTACTGATAAAATGTCCCCTCCCAATAATAAACTACTGTAACATCTTTTCTTTGTCAATAGTATTCATAAACACTTGACATAGCGTATTTATTTTATATAGATTATTCAATGTGTTGTTTCTTCTAAAATTGTTAACAACTCTATATAAAAAAAATATAAAATAAGAAAAAATACAAACATTTATCTAACAACGTTATGCATTTCCCTGTTCTGCTATATATAAAAAAGAAAGAACTGACTTGAAAATGATGTAATCATTATTTTACAAGAGTGCCTAGAATCCTCATAACTCTTAGTTTAATTCAGCCATAATATTAAGAGATGTGGCAAATGCGTTTTCTTGCTAGTGCAATTTAATTGACGTGAGTGTATGAGACACGCACACACACACACACACACACACACACGCACACGCACACACACACACACACAGAGAGAGAGAGAGAGAGAGAGAGAGAGAGAGAGAGAGAGAGAGAGAGAGAAGATTGCACAATTGGCAAAGCCAACACCATAACAACATGTATGCAAATATTTTTATTATAAAAAATCATTAAAATATAATGTTACGTTCACGGTAGCTCAGTCGGTAGAGCGCTCGCTCTGTGATCGGAAGGTCGTGAGTTCGAATCTCGGCCTCGACTGACCTAAATCGATAAAAAAAAATGGGTAGCAACTGTTCCTTTGCCATGCGCTCGGCACTTTGAAGTGAAAGTTGCGGATCCTTCGGATGAGACCTTAAAACCGAGGCCCCGTGTCACGGCAGATGTTGGCACGATAAAGATCCCTCACTGCTCAATGGCCCTGATTGCCGAGTAAAGGTCAAAATTTGAAGCCCTTCACCGATATATTGTGACGTCTCTATATGAGTGAAAAATTCTCGAATAGGACGTAAAACAACATACAATCAATCAATCAATATATATGTTGGATGTTGTTTTTTTTCCTATTTATCACACCCACAATATAAAATACAACAAACTGGGAATTTCAAGACTAATAATTGGGAAAAGGGGGTGTAACTAAAATGCCCATGTGATATGCATATGGACGAAAAAAATGTCACAATAGTACTTAGAAATCATATGATGTACAAAATCAAATCACAACACCTACATTTAAGCAAAAACACAGCATGAATATTCACATTTCAATCAAATTCGAGTGTCATATTGATGGATGGTCATATGATATTTTTCACTTATACAATAAAAACGTGTTTCATTCACACTTGTTAAAATAATCTAACAAACAAATCATCACATTAAAAATATTTAAAATATTTTCCAATATAATGTCAATTCTCTTAGAGAAAACACTACAAGCTCAATTTCAAACAAAACCTGGAATTCCCTTGTCATCTGTTTATGAAGGAAATGCGTCAATCATAAGTTACACAGAAGGAATTGTCCATCTTGGTTTTATGTAGTCCATTTCAACTGTTCGGAATAGCATAAGGGGAAAATGAGTCTGATATAAAAAAAAAAGTTGATCTATGATACTGTAATTTTTTGAATGAAATTTCAAACCACAAAGAATGATCTAAAACAACCGTTTTCTAATAAGATTAAGAATTAAAAAAAAAAGAAAATTGTACGATTTTTTATTGACTTTTTTGACTACATTTATCTGCACAGATAAAAAAAAATTGATGGGGGTGGGGGTGGAGATATGGGGGTAGGTGTTATTCACAGGCTAGTTTACTGTCAAAACTACTCAGTGCTATTCCAAAAGCTTGAACTGCACAAAGAGGGTAATTAAAATCCATGGTAAACACGTCTTCTGCTACTCGGCCAAACTGCATCACAATGTATTCAACTGAAAGGTAGAAATGAGTTGAAAATTCATACTTGGTAGAAACATTTACGACGGAATAAAGTTTGCTTTTTAGCGAATAGTTCTTCAAAGATATTAAATCTCATAAAAAATTCTCAGGAATAATACACTACTAAAATCATTTATGATATAGAAATATCATAATAAAACTCTCTTGATGCTTGAAATCACTACTGGATACAAATTAAACTAAGAATTATAACCTAATTGATTTTTTTCCTTTACAGCATTCATACACAAAAAAACATTTTTTTTTAAACATTTGCTCTAACTAATATAATATTAGTAACTCCTCTCGAAATCTGGTAAATCATGCTGGATGAAAAGGATAAGTAGATTTCCTCTGCTTGCTCATGATCTAACCATATTTTTATAATTAACAAGTGACCTAATTCTTACCATCATTGTCATGCACGATTTGGAAATTCTTTACAGATTCCTCAGTAACTCTGCCATGGAAATTCAGCACATATGATTGAGTCTCTACAACAAAGAATACAATTGTGATAACTTAATAAGAGGACAGGGAATTTAGCAGTTAACAACTTTTTCCAATCATTTCACATCTACAACTATAACGGGTTCAGATACAAGCCATTCACTGACTGATATTTTTCATTTCGAAATCTTAAATCAATGATATTCTAGAAATTGCAGTACAATTGATTATGATGTGCTGTAATCTGTATATTCCGTTACTGTGCCGACTTAATTTGATTCTGACGACATACCACCATTCCAGACGGGGGTCTTGTTGTGGAGTTCCAGTATATTCTCCATATTTTTCCTCTGGTACCTGCCAATCAAGCCATCATTGTCCTACAAAACACATATCAATACTTACCCTCGTCAGAACCTCATTTGTAGTATACCACTTAGTCTGACTTGTTAATTAATAAGTTCAAAACATGGTTTATGTGTGACTGAGTAAGCACCATCAGTTTGGTTGTTTGTTGAGCATATAACATCTTTAATAAACATTCGTAGATCAGATTTATCGAAAAACCAGCAAGAGCTAAACAAGCAAAACAAGAACAATTTCATTTTTAATATTATTTTCCCCTCCCTTATATTACTTCTATGCTTTTTCTATTTAAAACAGATTAAGTTTAAAAATCAAATAAATCATTTTTTGCATCAAGCAATGAATTGGTGGCACATCTAAAAAGAATCTTTGACTTTTGTCCACTAGACAACTTAGGTTTGGGTATAAGCATTCAAATCAAACATTCTTTGAATATTGTATAACTGGAAGTAGAACAAAATGCAAACTTGTGGACATTTGTTAAAAACCAAGTGGGACAGAATGACAGACATTCAGAGGAGCAGACTGATAAAAAGACGCGGAGCAGATTTATAACTCCCCCTGTCCCACCCCCAACCCAAGTTTCACCGGTAGGGAACTAATAACTTTGACAGAGGATGGACTCAACTCTACTCTTTACACAAAATGGAGGAACTAATCAAACTTTTTATTGACTCACAGATCTTGGCTTGATGTCTACTCGTTCATGATCTAAATTCATCCCAGGAATAATGATGGTCATTTTTCTGGGTCCCTTAAAACCTAAGACATTTGTTTCCTGAAAAGATGAAGCAGAAATATTTATATCAAATAGTCACTGAGTAATTCTCTAGAATAGAATATACATGACATGTAAAGCTTACAAGAATGTCTCTCTCTCTCCCCCCCCCCCCTTCCTTCCCTTAAGTAATACTTCCCTAAAGTAAGTACCTGATTTCAATATTGGAAATATTTGGTGAATAAATTATTATGATAATAAATAAATATGTTAGAAAGGTTTGCGGAGAAGTTCTATTGTAAGCGTGCTATTTGCATGAAACGAGTAAAGTAGTGTGCTTCCTTAGATGTATCATCCATGCATGTGTGGTCAATATAGGGCTTATAGTTACATGGAAATGAGATTTGCTCCAAAAAACTTTAACCTGGCCACTTATCCGGAAAATATAGGTCAGATCCAGCATCTGAAGCAAGTCCAGTAGTGTGCATCCTTAGATGAATCATCCATTATTTTCCAATAAATATTCACAAATTTGGTGTTTTCCGATGATCCTTAAGAAAATATACAGCTATATTATTTATGTAAAACATATTTAGCGGGGCATGTCATTTTTTCGCATGTTTTCATTACATAGACATTTTTTTAAAATGAAAAATTGCACTGTTGTGGCGCATAAATATTTATGATATTTACCTGTCGCTATAATATTCATAGACGTCTTTTGGAGAAAGTTTGAATTAAATTGGAGGGGATATGACTGGTTTTTCGTTAACTATAGATGATCAATGCGTAAAAACAAAGTTAAGAATGGAACGTCATTGAACGTTTTTGAGCACCGAGTTATTGAAAAATTATGTGTACAGACAGGAAAATGTCCCAAAGAGACTAAATTGTTTTAGTTGCTGTTGGGGATTGCCTACACGTACCTTAGGCCAAAGTGTTCAAAGGGTAGTAGGTTTTGTAAGAATGGAAGGATGGAAATTTTTGATGATCAACTCCTGTGATATCCTAAAACCCAACATATCGCACGGACGTTGCGCCTATGGATTTGCATTTTTTCCATACCTTATCGATTAACTGTGTAGACATTCATTTTAAGCTAGATCTCACCAATATCCGACACTCCACAAAAGACGTTTTAGAAAAAATGCATCATGTCTAAAAATAGTTATTTAAGTAGGAAAAAAGACAGGAAAAGTCTATAGAAATGAAAGATATTTTAAACTGTAATAAAGATTGACTGGTTTGGAATTAGGTTATCGCGTCACCTAGCGTCAAAAAACGTTAAGTGATTGCTCCGTAAACTCTATAACCGCAAAATAAAAATCATTGTATATTTTCAAAATGTTAGTAAATGGACCTGTTTTTTTTTACATACTAATAATCAAAAGACATGAATTTTATTAGATATATATCATTCTTCAAAGTACACAATAAATTTTCTGTAAATGAATTTGTCCGCGATTTTTTTCTATAACAACCATCGTTCATCATTGATGCATAAATATGTATAATAAAGTCTTCATTTCATACTTACATAAATGATTCCAACTAATTCTTTTCTAGCATTTTCATAATTGCTTTTTGGGTTGTCACCATTGTCAAACAATGTGAACTGGGTCCCTAATAAGTTTGCCCTTTAAAAAGAAAAGTGGCAAATCTTTTAATACAGACACTATGTATATCAAGGACTACGTTATATATTTCTTATGTCCATGGTAGAAATTTACATGAGGACACTGATAAATTTTTGCGACACCTTACTTTAGCGAGATGATTATCTGGTATTTATTACAAGGGAATGATGAGTTTTGTTGTTTGTAATCTTTAGAAGTACAAAAATACTTAAGAATGACATTCTAATGAACAGACAGTCTCGTGTAAATGCACAAAAGTTTTTCCATATAAAAAGTGATAATTTGTATATTCAACAATTTGTCGAACTTTTCCAAATTTCTGATAAGGGAGGCAAGTATTACCTGAGTTTGCCTACATAGGCCTCACCTCCCCTGGACAGATCTGTAGGATCCGTGGATATCAGGTAGTTTGATGTTTTACTCTTCTTCCTCTTTCTACCAGCCAGCAAAAATACCTTTTAAAATGCATGTATCTTTAAAAGTTTTTATATATTCAAAAATTTTAGAATGTACATTGGAAACACTTTTTGTACTAATCTGTTACCATGCAAACCCTTTTATTTTAGTAAATTTCAGATGCGTACCCTTGATTCTGATATGTTTTAATCGATACAAATCATACAGAAGTATATTTACCAAAGTATATATGATATATACTAATAATCTTTAGAAAACAATCACACTTTTTTTCAAATATCACTGGAAGAGTTATATAGATATACCTAGTAATTAAAAATTAATCCAAAAATTATCTGGCAGCTAACCTTTTTGCCATCATCTTTTTCTAAATGGAGGAAGTATGTGGGATAAATCCCTCGCTCCACGCCTTTTTTGTCTCGTGTGATCCGACACTTCATTACGTGACCTTGAGGGGCTGGCCTTAGCAAAAAATCATCAAGGTTATCAGTGAGCTCGGGAGGTTCGTCTCCAGCCATAGCACTTTCTGCCGCCTCCTCTTGATCATCATTCTGGAAAATAATATACCTCAATACTGAACATTGCATGTCATTGTTATAGTTAAATCATTTTTCAAGAATTTAAGGAATCCTCTCATTATCCATAACTACACTCTCATCACTTCTTGGAAAAATAGAGAAAACTAATGTGCAAAGTATGTATAGGTAAACATGAATTTTGTGTTTAAAATGACTCCTATTTCATTGCATTGCCTTCAGAAAATCAAATAAAAAAATCTATTTGCCCAAAAAGAATTTTATAAGAGTTAAGACATAACTTAGAAAGTATTTATTGCAGGAGAATTTTAAACCACTTGGCTGGGAATAGATGATTTTTGAGTTTTCAGGAAAACATATATTTTGCTTTCTTTCCTGCTTTTTAAGAAATAAGACAGCGATTTGCCCAGGGTGTTTCATTATCTATGAAATACCAACTTGGGAAAGGATGCAGAAAAAGAACGCACAAGCTGCATTTATAAATAGAAAAGCATCGATAGCAACACATTTAAAACTATCTTTAAAATTTTGACAAAATATTAATAAAGGAATCGAATATGCATTTACTTAATGAGACCAATTTCTTTGCAGAGGACTATTGTTATTTTAGATAGCTAATTCACCAGAAGTTTGCTTTGCAACCATGTAGGTACGATGGAGGATTTTTTCTGCTGGAAATTTGAGCACGAATGAGTGGCTGCATCTAGGAGTGCCCATGCAGGGATTTTACCATTTCAAAGTGAAGAACCCAAATTAAAAGGCGCTTTTTATCCCATTCAGAACCCAAAGAACAATGCCAACAAAGAAAAGTGTTCGAAAATGCAAGGACAGCGGTACAAGACAAACAAGTTGTGTTGGGAAGGCCGGAAAAGGAAATGAAAGGACCATGGTGGGTTTTCTTTGTGACCAATTTTAACATTATATCTGACATTGCAACTAACGATATGCATAGTGTCTTACTAGGAGTGCAGAAGATTTTTAGGCATTCATTAGTTTTTGAAAGAGTTTTGAAAAGTTCATAACTGCAACGGTGTGTGCAAGCAAATTAAGGTGAAAATTTGTTTGTGCACACCGTTGTAATTACATGTATGAGACTACATCTTAAAAAATAATGATTCCATTCGATGCTTATATGTATATTTTTAACTCCTTGCCTTTTCTGCTAATGTGATTTATATTTCAAAATCCCTGTACTATCATTCGTGTAAGTTACAATTAATGGAAGATCCATTGCAACAGGTTCTGTTCAATGCTGGCGCGAATTTCGAATGACGTTGCACTTGCACAGCTTTCAACGTTTGTGACGTCAAAATAGAACGCATACTTTTAACCTTTTGACCTTTCCGTCCGTGTAATTGTGTTTCGAATGTCGTAGCTTTCCACACACTTTATAAGCAAAATACACGTGTAATGTAAATATTTTTTTGCATATTCAAATTAAAAGAGTATATTATTTTTCATCGTATTTGTAATTTAAAATTAAAATTAATGCAAACATTTTATTTACAAAGATGAATGGGACGGGCAAGCAAAGCCCATCTTAGCCATCTCCCTTAGGTAGCATAGGCGACGTGGAAACTGAGACCGTAATAAACCGAGGTCGGTCATGCCGACTATCGACAAAAATTTTGACTCGGTTATTTGTTAGAAACGTGCTATGTAATAGTAAGTCTACGTTCAAGTAAATAAATTAAGAGATTTTTTCTGGTCTGGTTTATTGGTGTCAAAGCCCAGACACTCCTCTGATGTTGTGTTTGTTTGTATGTATGTTGTTTAACGTCCCTCTCGAGAATTTTTCACTCATATGGAGACGCCACCACTTGCCGGTGGAGAGCTGCAAATTTTGTCCTATGCTCGGCACTTACGGCCATTGAGCAGTGAGGGATCTTTTTCGTGCCAGCACTTACTGCGACATGGGACCTCAGTTTATACGGTCTCATCTGAAGGACCGGTCTCCACGTCCCACAGTGGGATTCGAACCCGCGACGTAAGGATCAACTCCTTACTTCGCGACTCTAGAGCAGACGCTCTAACCACTGCGCCACGCGGGCGACCCTCTGATGTTGTGAAACAAGCTACTTTTTTAATGATTACGTACTTTAGCATATCTGTAATATGGAAATGGATATGTGTGTACTTTGATTTTACTTTGATATTGCTTTTGATGTCTTATTTAAATTAACGAGGCCGAGCCTAATTCGAGTGCGCATGACATTGCGCAGCTTTTCAATTTCATGCAGTCATATGTGCGACATTACTCCTTTTCCAAATATTGTGATTTTAATACAAAATTAACATTATCTGTAACGCCTATGGGTCTGAAATTGTGCTTTTACGACAAAAATGTACTCAATAATTATTTTACATCTGTATCATGTGTTGATGATATTGGGCCAGAATTACCTGAGGCATATTATGTATGTAACAGTGAAATTATGTATGTATTAGTGAGCAAGAAATAATTGATATTATAACAATACTTAGAAATAATTGATATTGTAACAATACTTCCTACAAACAAAGCTATTGGTCCTTACAATATTAGTCACAAGATGTTAAAATCAGCAAATTTACTATTACCGAACCCCTTTGTTTACTGTTTAATAGATTTCTGAATGAATGTATTTTTCTCTCCGGATGGAAATTAGCCAATGTACTTAGTCCTTTTAAAAAAGAAGATCCTTCTGTGATGTCTAACTATAGACCAGTTTCACTGTTGAGCTGTGTTGGAAAAATCATAGAAAGAGTTGTGTTAAAATATATTTATAATTATTTTCATGACAACAATCTTTTTTTATAAACATCAGGCTGGTTTTTTACCTGGTCACTCAACAGTATACCAGTTAATAGAAACATATGACAATATCGTAAAAGCTATTGATGATGAAAAATTTTGCTGTATGATATTTTGTAATCTCTCAAAAGCATTTGATCGTGTTTGGCATAAAGGTATTTTAACTTAAAACATATGGGATTACTGGAAGTTTGTATAAATGGCTTGAGAATTATCTTGAATGTAGATATCAAAGGGTGATGTATCGTAACTTGTTTATCAACACCCTAACCCTTACATGCTGGTGTTCCTCAGGGTTCAGTTTTAGGACCACTTTTGTTTTTAATTTATGTGAATGATGTTGCTGATAATATGGTTACTTTTTGTAGACTATTTGCTGATGATAATTATTTGCAGCATTCGTCTCATAATATGAAAATTATTGAAAGAGACTTAAACAAAGATCTAAATGCACTGGAACTCTGTCTAAAAATGGCTATTGAAATTTAATCCCACTAAAACTAAAGCAATAATGTTTAGTACAAAGAAAAACATAGAATATCCTAAGCTTCTTTTTCAACAATGCCAATTGGACTTCATCTCTGAACACAAACACCTTGGAGTATTTTTTTTTCACACGACGCTAGTTTGTCACCGCATATTGAAAATCTACTGTCTAATGCCTACAAAAAATTATCTCTTTTGAAAAATTAAAATTTAAAGTAAGTCGAAAAACTCTCTCACTCATGTATACGTCATTCATAAGACCGCAACTTGAATATGCTTCAGTGGTATGGGGATGCTGTCAATATAGTGATAAGGATAAGTTAGAAAAACTGCAACTTTATGCTGCTAGAATTGTTACAGCAATACAACAATAGCTTCCAAAGATTCACTCTATTTTGAAACGGGATGGGAACCTCTTAGTTGTAGAAGACAAGAAGCTGCATTAAAAGAACGTTCAAGCTTCATAATATAATTTAGTGCCTGATTACTTAATCAATATACTTCCAGATACGCGCTGTAACTCATCTATTTACTTAACAAGAAATTCTCAAAATTATGATATTCCAAAATGTCGATTACAAACTTTTAAGTCTACATTTATTCATACTGTTGTTAATGAATGGAACTCAATTCCATTCGAAATTCGAAATTTACAGTCAATGTCAAAATTCAAATCTTAAATTAGTACTAAAAAATCCGCTCCACGATCATACTTTGATTACGGTAACAGACGACTAAATGTTCTTCAAACTAGACTACGGCACAATTGTGTTTTGAATAACGAACCTTTATAGATGCAGTTTAATATCAAGTCCTTTATGCCCGTGTGGTAAAGTAGAGGATACATATCATTATTTTTTGTATGTCCAAATTATGTGAAAGCCAGAAATGAATTTTTAAATAAATTTTTACAATTTGACAAAATCAACATTCTAGATACACATGTCTTATTATGGGGGTAGATGCATTGAATACTGCAGAGAATGAACGTCTCCTTTCTTTTGTTCAAACATTTATTAAACATTTAGGTAGATTTCCTTGTTAGCATTAATTAATATATCAGTATATGTATATGTACAAAATTATTTGTATTTATATATATCTGTAAAATGCATCAATTTGTAAACTTTTGCAAATATTGTATACTTTAAAAACACTATGTTTAACATGTTTAACTGTGACAATTTTAATGTGTACTTTGCATGTAGGGAGAGGGCGTAATAAGTTTTCAGAACTTGTGCCCAATCCCTTTGTAATTATAAATTACAATAAACTAGTATTAATTGTAACGGGGACCGTTACAGATGTTCCCCAAACGCTCCCCAACTTCCTTTTGGTGTCTTATTCCCTGTAAGTTTTGTTAAATAAGGCAATCAAGTATATTGGGTTTTTTTTTACACATTGCATGCGTGCGCACTTACATGCATGTACAAAATGACCATGTCAACTTTTCTACACTTTTAATACATCTTTATATTCAAATTTCATCAAAAGAAAAAAAAATCGGCTATATAAAGTATATCTGTCATTTTACGCATTGCACGCGCGCGCACGTGCATGCATGTCCATGATGACCATGTCATCTTGTCAACACTATTAATATATATACATATTTTGAGTATCAAAGCATTTCATCAAACAGTATAAAAGTTACAGCCATATCAAGTATATTGGTCATTTTAGCATTGCATGCGCGCGCACGTGCTTGCATGTGCATGTTGACAATGTCGTCTTGTCAACATTTATATTATGTCTATATATTCTGAGTATCAAAGCATTTCATCAAGAAATGTAAAAGTTATGGCTATATCAAGTATATTTGTAATTTTACTCATTGCACGTGTACGCACGTGCATGCATGAGTGCGCTGACCATGTCATCTTGTCTACACTTCTAATATATCTTTATATTCCGAGTTTCAAAGCAATTCATCAAAAAATGTACAAGTTAAGTCTATATCAATTGTATTGGTTAAATCAATCATTGCGCATGCGCACACGTGCATGCATGTGCATTCTGACCATGTCATCTTGTCTACACTATTAATATACCCTGATATACTGAGTATCAAAGCATTTCATCAAAAGATATGAAAGTTATGTGGCTATATCAAGTATATTGGTCATTTTACTCATTGCAAGCGCACGCACGTGCACGCGCGTGCTTGCATGTGTGTGCTGACAATGTCATCTTGTCTACACTTCTAATATATATTTATATTCTGAGTTTCAAAGCAATTCATCAAAAAATGTACAAGTTAAGTCTATATCAATTGTATTTGTAATTTCAATCAATGCGCATGCGCGCACGTGCATGCATGTGCATTCTGACCATGTCATCTTGTCTACACTATTAATATATCCTTATATTCTGAGTATCAAAGTATTTCATCAAAAGATATGAAAGTTATGGCTATATCAAGTATATTAGTCATTTTACTCATTGCACGCGCACGCACGTGCATGCACGTGCGCGCAAAATGACCTTCGTTCCGCAAATCTACATAACATTCTTATTAACCCTAAAAAGGTTCCACCTCAATCGGATGTGTAGTTTCGGAGATCACTCACGGACAAAAAAGTACCCAGGAAGAAAAATAATAATAATAATAATAATAATAAGAAACAGAGTAAAAACAATATGTTCCCAAACTTCGTTTGGGGAACATAAATATTTTAACCAAAATATATAATCATCTGCACCGATATAGGCATATACCGCAATAATTTTGGAGGTACAAGGCATTGAAAAAATAAACTTTGTAATAATTCCTACACCAACCTAGATGGTCAACTTTTTGAAACTTTACAATTTGGTGACTTTTACAATAACTTTCATGTACTTGGCTGAAAAAGAAATCTCTAGGGCAGAAATACAAAAAAATATGGAAAAAATGTGATAATTTGGTGCTTTTCCAACACATTCCTATGCATAGGATCCAATAGTAAAATTTGACAACTTTGAGATGGCTCCGTAAGAAATCGGGACGGTAAACATTCGATTTTTTGATCTTAAAACAATTAATTTGATAGTAAAAATTAATTCAAGAAAATTTATCAAAATCTCTTGGGTAGAATTAATTAGACTCGGCGTCTTTAATTTCACGATTGTATTTATTGTTTGCACAATATTGCATAATTAAGATTATGCGCTTTACGAACTCTCCAGCTTTTTTAAAAAAATGTTTTTCATCTGCACACTTACCATTTTCTAGTTACGGGTCAAAAAATCAGCTGGAATTAGACACGTAAAAAGGCTTCAAAAAGTACAGATAAATTATATATATATGCATTGGCGTCCAGAGAAATGCAAGCCATATGCATAATATTTGATCGATGTATTTGGATAAGATGTAAGGTAAAAAATATAATTTGAATTAAGATACAAGTATCATACTTATTTCGAGTTAATAAGTTAAACTAATTTCTAAATACTTATATTGAGAAATACGTTGTCTGTAATGAGTATTTTACTATCGTTCGACTAAAGCTTCAGATTATTCAACTAGGCTAAAAATTTGTGCTACTAGTATTTAAAATATTTAAGAATTTATATGACTATTTTTGTGCCAAGACGTTATATCTTATCATCATTTTATTTATGGATATCAATTCTCTCAGTGTAAATCATTTTTTATAAGAATATTACGCTTAAGCTTGTTTTTATTTTCTCGTGCTTACTTCAAAATATTTGTCATTTTACTTGAAACTTCAATGAATGCTAGGATAATTATGCTTGATCATATCAGCAAAAGTTCAGTTATAATTTGAAAGATTTAATAGACAACAAAATTGACAAATTTCAACATTTCATTTTACTGAAAAATAAACTTTGTCTAAGTGACCTAGTTTAAATTTACTTTTGAAGTAATTTAAAACAAGATGTGATTGTGAAACACTGATGCCCCCGTATGGCAACTTATAGCGAAGGTTAAACTTTCTCAAATGCAAATCAAATATGTTGGTACCCAAAGTAAGGTCTTATACCGAGGAATATACTTGTAAAATATGAAAACCCTAGCAGCAACCATTGGAAAGATATGGAAAAGGTTAAAATTTTTCAAAAGTAAGTCAAACATCAAGGTCAAGGTCAAAATTAATGGTGCCCAAGGAAAGGCCTTCTCACAAGAAATACTCATGTGAAATGTGAAAGCCCTAGCACCAACCATTTGAAAGATATGGCCAAGGTTAAAGTTTTTCAAAAGTATGTCAAACTCCAAGGTCAAGGTCAATGGGCTAGAATTGTTGGTATCCAAGGGAAGGTCTTGTCACAAGGATAACATATGTGATGTATGAAAGCCCTAGCATCAACCGATCAAAAGTTATAGCCAATGTTAAAGTTTTTCAAAAGTAGGTCAAACACCAAGGTCAAAGGGTCAAAGTTGTTGGTATCCAAAGAAAGGTCTTGTCAGAAGAATTACACAAGTGAAGTATTAAAGCCCTAGCACCAACCGTTAAAAAGTTATGGCCAAGGTTAAAATTGGGAAAAGGTTTGTAAAACTGGGTCAAACACCAAGGTCAAGGTCAAAAGGTCAAATATGATGGCATCCAAAGAAAGATCTTGTCACAAGGAATACACATGTGAAATATTAAAGCCATAGCTTCAACCAATCAAAAAGTCATGAGCAATGTAAAAGTTTTTGCGGACAAACTGACAAACAGATGGACGGACAGGGCAAAAACTATATACCCCCGAATCTTCGATACGGGGGCATAAAAATCATTAAATACGCTTAAAGAAAAAGGTGGAATCCGCTTCAAAGCTAAGAAGGTCCACCGAATTTTCTTAAATGAAATTTTTATGTCCGTCTAAAATTAATCTAAAGTAAGGAGAACTTATAAATACATGGATGCCAAATACATACCGTCTGAAATTCAGATGAAATGTATTCGTCAGGGGACTTGTAGATATTTGAGATTTCCTCTTGAAAGTTTTTAGCATAACATGATTCTAAATCGGTAAATATATGTCCCCGATGTTCTACTTGTGTGGCACATTTGGAACATACTGGACTTTGGCATTCTTCACAGAACATGTCCATATCTTTAGTTGGGTGGATCTTGCATTTTTTCACAGGAATTGGTCGTTTTCGTTGCTGGTAAAGGACCACCTCATGGTTCTTGGTTTTTGGACTTCTCCGATGTTCATCTGTGCATTGTTTGCATAATCTGTGATGACAATGGTTGCAATAGAACTCACAGTTTCTTTCGCATTTTTCAGTGTTACATACTAGAAAGTGTTGGGCCATTAGTGGAATATCCAATTTAGAAAATGCCATCTGAAACGATAAAAGTTTTTGTGTAGAAAATGTTTTTATAATACATGGGAAGATCTTTGCCTGTACAATTCCATATTTTTAAGTACACATTCATGTTTTAGGTACAAATTTAAATACCTTAAATATTTCCAGAGAACAAATAATGATTTTTTTTTATATATCTACTGGGGATATCCCAACAAATCTACATTATCAGTTGCAACTAAAGGGGGCTACGAGGGTTGCATCCTCCTCTTTGTTTTTGGTTAAAAAAAGATGAGGTAAAAGAGAAAGAGAGTTGTTTATACATATGAATTATATTTTGATAATGATCTGACTTGTTCAGCTTTATTAAATCGTTCAATAATTCAAGTTTATCCCGAGTACAAATGGGATAGAAAAATAGGTTAATTTCTATGTCAACATTTTCTTCCATAGGCTCTGCAATAATAAATAAGATGGTAAGAGGAAACAATTTTGAAAAATTAATGTATATTGGGCCTCTAAAACAAGAAAATACAATGTATATATATGTATATATAGTAAATGAATAAAATGGGGAAAATCCAATTTAAAAACTATATGTGTATATTATGATCTGATTTTAGAGAGTAATTAAATGAAAGAAAATCATTATCATTTATTTGGTTTCAAGTCATCGTACATAAAACAAATACACATAATCCTTTGAAAGACATATTTTGGAAACATAAAATAACACAGATTTGTAAATAAATAAAATAATAAAATATTCAGGTAATCATATTTTTAGAAATGTAATTACTGTGACTAGATGATACGAGGATAACCCATTTAAGCTCGAAAGTTTATTTTCAATGGGGTCCTTTTTAAAATAATATAATTGATGCAATCTTTCATCATTAAAGCACTATATTATATTTGTCACGATAATTTTACGCACTGTATTGCTTAAACTTCAAACATAGTTTTAGGTATGGCAACATTGATAATATCTAACAATAATAAAAAAAAAAGTTTTATAAACTAGTAGTAAAACATTCCATTTTCATGCTTTAAAATGCCATTTTGTAAGATAAAATTCTTATCTTGTTTCTTAAAGTACTATTTCCTTTAGTATATTTAATAGAAGATGGTAAAAAATTCCACTCCTTAATGCCATTATATTGAAAAGTGTCTGCCTGGCAGGCCTTCATATGAGGTATAAAAATCCTTATTAGATGATGTTCTAGTATTGAGTGAATTAAAGTTTTCACCTAGATAAGACGGTGTACAGATGTGGTAGATATTATACATATGATTTCTGATCTGTCTTACCCGTTTTATATATATAAAAGAAAAATCTTAAGATTTGCTAATTCTATTGTGAAATCAATAGAAATACATAATGCATGTATTTAATCTAATAATCAAAATATATATCGACACTGTTATAATTAAGCTTTCACTTTGTTGAATTGAAATTTATGTATATATAAAATAATGGTGTTAAAAATTCCTTCGATATTACAAATTGTGTTGCCATCATGTTTGTGTTCTACATGCAGTAACTATGAGTAAAATATACCAATGCAATTATAAAATCTATGCATTTTCGTTAAACAAAATCTGTCTTTCAAATTGCCAAAATCCAGATGACTTATTTATCTTAAACAAGGTTTTGCCCTGATCTCAGTGGGAGCCCCAAGGTGGCCCAAGGCCCCAAACGTCTGCCTTATCTGTACAAGCATTGTACTTTGGCGGACTCCGCCATTTAAAGTAATATATTTTTACAATTCATGTTCATGAATTAAAGTTGTCATAGCGTGTGCCAGTTTCTTTATATAGCAAGTTTCTTTTATTTATTGTTACTGTCTCACACGGTTTGGGTATGTTTTTATGTTAGCTGTGCCCGACCCATAAATTAAGGCAATCTTTTGTTAGGTAGACGATCCTTACAATCAGGTTTGTCCTTGAACAAAATGTTTTATGTTCACAATCATAAAAAATAGATCTAAGTATAACCCAGTCTCGCTTTATGAAAACAAATATAACAGAAAGTATAAGTAATAAAACTTTATGTATATAAGTTTAGAAAAAAATAAGACCGGATACGTAAACCGTTGTGACAATCGAACATAAAAAAATCACAACAATAAAGTTAAATTGAGTAAACAAAAGAGTTATCGTTTTTACCATTAATACATTAACCATGTTAAAATAGAATGTAAATGGATTCAGAAATCAGGGCTTTATAATCGTCTGAATAGATTTATGCAAAAAAGAAAAGAATTTGGTTGTGACATTACCGTTGCTTTGACAACAATAAACTATTATTTGTAAATTATGCAAACACACGTTATGCTACAGAAAAAAAATATGCTACACTCTACCTCGTTTCAATTTTTTTTGGATACGCACCACATCTTAATTTATTTAAAAAAAAAAATATTTCAATCATAATTGAAATGTTTTTCATACTTACAGCTTTTTATGAACTGTTGACAGATTTTGGAATTTCAAAATCGATAATTATCAAAGTATAATTTACTTCCTTGTTGTAGGTAAATTTACATTTAAATAGATACGGGTCATTACTAATGTATGCTAACATTCTTAGGTCTCCAACCTATTTTTTTTTCAAAGCAGTTTTGGTTTTTTGCGAATACAGTGATATGTCAACTAGTTATTCAAATAAAAAAATAAGGGAGTACAATTTGGGAATTACTAATTATTAGCATTATAAATAATTTATTTAGTTCCTAGAAACAGACTTGAGCAATCATTTAAGGAACAGTTTTTTGTCTTTAAATTTTGTTTTAGGAATAACTGCAATATACATGTACATGTATGTGGTTTACGAAAATCATACTTATATATTTTTTTAAGTTAATTATATGTGTGATCGCAAAAACATCACGAATATTAGCATTGAAGTATGCAAACAAAAAAAATAAAAAGAAATTCCTTAAGTGTTATAATTGAACGAGCATAATCTCAAAGGCATCGTTTCGTAGGTGATCCTAGTTCAAATCGATGCATAAAAAATGATGCTGTAGAATTTTTTTTTTAAATTTCCTGAATAGGATGAAAAAACACCGATTGTTCGGTTGCTGTTTTGGCATGCATTTTCATTGTTGTATTATTCCTTCTTAATTCCTGTGAGCTTTTCTGGTTTTTCGTTGTCCGCCGTCTGCCTGTCTTTCCCGTTCAACTACTTGTACAATTTCATCCAAAGGTGGCATAGTCATCCAGGTGTAAGGGATTCATTTTTAAATGAAGGGTTTTTAGTGTACCATCTTTTGCCAAATTATTTCGTTAAAAGCATTCTGATTGTACACACAAGTACTCTAAAGTTGACATTAAAAAGATGCTTGAGTTTCTGATTGACAGTATCGATGTGGTTGTTGAAGACCAGGTCTTCCAACAATCTATTGGAATACCCATGGGTACCCATTGCGCCCGGTTATTAGCAGACCTTTTTTATATTCATATGAAGCAGAATTTGTCCAAAATCTTATACATGAAAAGAAGAAAACACTTGCTGTGGCCTTCAACTCGACATTTAGATATATTGACGACGTATTGTCAATTAACAATGGTTATTTCCATTCTTATGTCGATACGATAAATCCCGGTGAGCTTGAGATAAAAGATACCACAGAGTCTGACTCATCTGTTTCATATTTGGATATTTTACTTGAAAAAGACGTTAATGGTAATCTAACAACCAAGCTTTATGATAAATGTGATGACTTTAACTTTTCAATCGTCAACTTCCCTTAATTATGCAGCAATATACGTTCATCACCTGCATACGGGGTTTATATCTCTTAGTTAATTCGATACGCAAGAGCATGTCTACGTATGTACAATTTCTAAAACGAGGTAAATTATTGACAAACAAGTTGATGAAACAAGAATATCAGCAGTCTCGTTTAAAGACAATGACTGATCATTTGTTTACGTTAAATTTACTAAAATATTCGAGATATAAACTATATTATCTGCGTTATAAAAGACCAAATAATAATTTTATCGATTTGAGGTTGGAGACCAAACCTAATATGTTTCAAATACCATCAATAGAAAATCCGTAAAATCTGTAAACACGGTAAAATAATAGCGACGATAGGAAGGGGTACTCGGCGAAGACGAAGAAACTCGCCTTCAAAATACAATGTGATTTGTCATCAAACCTTTATTATTCACAAATTCAACATTGTAAAATCTTTTGTATTTTTTCTTTATGATAAAATATCAATTTATGCAAATATATCTGCATATATTTTGCAAAGAATGGCGGTCTCGAATAATAATTTCCCTTTCACAAACATTACTGGATACAAATACATATCCAAATTTTTAACTAACAAACAAGGAAAGCACACTAATTTTTCAGATAGAAGTTGGTTTGGTAAAATAAAATAAATTTAAAACTCAGCTTTCACAAAGCATTAATTTTAATCAAGTTTAATTGTAAATAAGCGACTGAATTATATTCGATTTCAGAAGGACGCCGGGGGATAATTAGAATACATGTAACAATGTGTAATACCTGGAGAAGAGAAGGTGTCAGACGTGATATTTACAAATTACCTCTTCTTTTATAGTCATAGACTACAACTAAAATTCGAGAAACCAAGAAGTAATTTTTTGCAACTTTGTTCGTTCATTACCATCACTTTTTATTTACCTACTGACATGAAGCCACTATGTACATTCACTGTAGCCCTGTAATAGTACATGCATACTCGTACTTTCATCTTTTATTCAATTATAATACTTAAAATTAAAACTAGTTCAAATTTCTGTAGTAACTGAAAAGCAGGTAAATAATTATGTTTTCAGCATTTTTCGTATTTTTTATTGCATTTGTCGTTTACAACTACGTTAATAGTGTACATATTCTTATCTCTCTATCACTGAATTGTCGCATATAACGTCAAAGCAGTATGGCGCAAAAATCATATTGAAATATGCATATCCCAGTATTTGAATTTCAACTCTAAATATCGCTGAAAATATGCTTGCAACACCATTTATTATGTTCAGTATTTTAA